ATGCTTTCACTCTCCCTTTCATTCTCAGGTCACTCTGTCAGTAATCTCTGAGACCAGCCTGTCAGTACCAAATCTGTTTCAGTGGAAAAGAACCCTAATTTCCCTAGTCAAAGGTGACTTACTACAACATCCTTGTTGCAAGCTCCTCAACAAGATGTTATCTTGAGATACATCTGTTTGAATTTGACAAAACTTCCATCAAAGCCACTGGGCACTTGGTCCCATAGACTTCAGTTGTATAAAGTTCTATGTAAGGTCCAATTAATTCCCCGCAGGAGAAAGTTTTTCATGTCTGTAATTCATTTTAACGACTAAAAGAAGGGAAAAGGCCACATACAAGAAGAGCAGGAAGCCAGGCTCATGCACTGGAATGAGGAAAGTGGCTTCACAAGATGTCTCTGTGATGGAGGAGGAGATTACAAATCAAAGGAGACCACAGCTCCTGTCCCACCTTCTCCCTCACATCCAAACCCCCTGCACACACACACACACACACAATGCCCCAGACTCATAGCCTTTCTCTCATCCCATACTGTGGGTACTTCCCTCACTTTCATCTGCCACAACTTGGTTCAGTTCTAATTAACACCTCAACCTGAACGAGGGACTCCCCGCATCTCGCAGATATGTTTCATTTCAGTTATTTCTTTCTCTTCACTGTGTCAACGCAACATTTTAGAAGCATCAAGGCACTGATTTTTGTAGGCTTTCAAGTTACTCACTTTTTCTTTTTAGATGCCTGCTAAATCAACCAGAAATTTATGGCTACAAATACCACTTTCTGCACTTTTATTTGGCTTCTTTCACAATGCAAATACAAAACAGAACTTCAAAGTTCAGCAGAAATCTTTTTGCTTCACGATAGCCTAATTCTTTTCACATTTCTTTTCAAGCGTGCAATGACAGGATTAGCTGGGGATTAATTGCTTGAAACTCAACCTGCATCTCAGGTCACAATTTTCTCATCTCTTCAGATTTTAAAGCTTTTCTATCAACCAAATATTTGTCATAGAGACCAATACCTACAACAGATAAGATCTTCCCACACAAACATCCTATTTGGAGGTCTCAAAACTCAAACAAAAATCCTGCTTACTGCGCAAACTCCAATTTCCCCACCCCAAGTTACAGTCCCGTTCCCAATAGAAACTGGACTGCTTTACACAAATGCCATCTTTTAATAATAATTTTTATATAATTTATGTAATTCAAACAAGCAATATTCCTTGCTTCCCATATTGTCCCTCAGAGGCACCTGCTCTTCAGATAAAACATGCTTACTCACTGGAGGGTCACCCAGGCAGTTATGGTTTAAACACAATTTTATTTATTTATTTCCATATCAATGATCATGGCTTGGATTAAAATACATCTGCAGCTGTGCATTGACTCAGAACTGACTGCAAAACTCAGTGAGCAGCACAGCACAACTAGTTGAGGCTGCACATTTCATGGAAGCCAGTCATTTGAACAGACTCTCTTTTGAAATAAAAGATCATTTCAGCAAGCATAGTACATCAAAAGAGCATTGCTTAATTAATGTATCTCCTGCCACTGTTGCAGCAGTTGAAGCACATTATTTTTGTGGTGAGGACCAACTCCGCAAAGTAAAGATGTCTACAGTTCCACTCAAGTCATACAAGCAAGGAATAAAACCCTTCCAGCTCTTTTTTACTACTTACATCTACCTATCAATAATCTGTATCAAATCCACCCAGGTTCACAGGTTAGGCATAACTGTATTCTACTAACTAATTAATTTCTGTTGTTTAGAGATATCTTCCCATTTCCGTGATATTCTGAATGCTCGACAAGCAGCAGCTCATCTGCAAAAAATAAAACAAAAAAACCACACACACACACACATACACACACACACACACAACACAACTAACCCCCCCAAAAAACCCAAATCACACATACAGAAAAAACAAAACCACAAAAGAACCACCATTGCCACTGCGTCTCATCTTTTACAAACAGTAATGCTGGGACAAATATGATCTGGTAGTATCTCTCTGAGAACACCCTCCAGTGATTCTCTGCAAACACATCTAGGTTATCTGTACTAATGGCCACAGACCATTATTTTCATTTTGTATAGAACCCCGTTTGATTCATGTACCATAAAGGGAGAAAAATTAACTGCATCATCTGCAGGGCACATCTCCTTTGCTGCTCTGAGAATGAAAAAAGTCAAGAGCTGGAGAGAAGAGCAGGAAAGAAAGGTAAACTGAGTTGAACACAGAAGAGAAAATTAAATAAGACAACATCAAGAGAAAGAAAGTATGAAAAGCAAGTGTTCAAGCATGTTCAAACAAAACACAGGTACAGTGCTGAACGCTGTTTAAAAGCAAGCTGTGCTAAATTCCCAGAGCCCCACTTGTGAGCTTTGCATTACAATAAAAAGCAATGAAGAAGATGTATACTTCCCAGGGAAATGCTTCTGAAGTGAAAAACACACAGCAGTGTTGAGGCAAGACTGAGCAGCACGAAGGCTTTTATCAGAGGCTTTTGGCTGTGTGAAGGATATGGGTTACTCATAGCATGTGCATTTGTGCCCTTTCACAAAAAAACCAAAAATAATCTTGACACTACACAGAAGAAGTTCTTCACGTTGAAATTCTATTGAACATGAAAGATATGCTTGCAAAAATCTTTTCACGACTGTGAATGGAAGAGGTTTAAAACTGGTAGTATCTATACCATTTAAATGCTCAAAATGAAGTACCTTTTCCTCAGTCAGACGCGTTTTTCCATGTGCAATTTCCATACAAGTGGATGGAAAAGAGCTAGTTGCACCACTTTGCTCGAGTGAGTGTGCTACTCTTCTGACAGCAATGTACTACCGTGATCTGGGAGCATGGTCAGCTTCACTGCCGTGATTCTATGAAACCTTCCTTAGGAAGCCTAATCTAGCATCTGATTTAGTGCCTGGCAACCCTGCCCATGGCAGGGGAGCTGGAACTAGATGATCTTGGAGGTCCTTTCCAGTCCAAGCCATTCCCTGATTCACTACAGACCAGATTCCCAACGCAGACAGTTTGGAAGCAGAACACTCTTCTCATTCACGTGGCCTTATCTTGGCCTGGTCTAAACTTCCTCTGTCCTCCCATCTTACCTTTCCCTTTCCTCTCCTGTAAGCTGTACGTACACTGCTGTCAGAGTGGAGCTGCTGTGGACTCTCAGCTGAGAAACAGAGAACCAGTGTCACCTGAAAGGAGATGATCCAAGGCCCAAACCTGATGAGGCGTGATTCTCCAGCAACAACTCTCCCTCCATACTGCTTTGATCATGATTAGAAAGGGCTCTCAGTATGAGCAATGCCAGAGTGCAACACCCTGAATCTCATCACTGCCACTACTGTGGCCATCACCGAAGTCCTGGACCTGCACTGAGGACACAACCTACCTCCTGTTGCAGTGGCTTGTTTTCCCCGTGGGGACAGCAGTGCAGGCCTTCTAAAGGATGGCATCCCCTCCCAAGCCCAGCAACAGCAGGGGAGACAGGTTTTACCAGAAGTGCATTTTCCTGTCTTCATTAAGGGTTTACAGCAGTACTGCTACCTTGGAAGCCTGCCATCAATAAGCAGGTCAACCCCCTCAGTCTGGGCAAAGCCTCTCTGTATTGTTTTCTGTCTCATGAAAAGTTCCTCAGTAACTATATATTATTTTTGGAGAGCAGGGTGTTAGAAAACAATTGAAATGAATAAAGAGCTCTCCTTCACTGCTGAAAGCAAACTGTACGCTTAATAAGATGATAGAATTTGGGCTGTGCACCCAGCAAACAATAGCCTCACTGTTGCACGGATACCTTCAAGTTACGTCCTCACGTCACCCAAAGCAAACTGTAAGAGGGACTGCTCTGCAACTCAGATTCCCTTCGAACCTCTCAGCTAACTCTTTACCTCTTCGGGGTTCCACTTTAGTATCAAAATGGATCTTGTGCTTCATGAACCCTTCATTCTTTAAAAATAAATGAATCAATCTCTTATCTCTTACGAGGCTGCACTCAATTCCCAGAAATTTCTTACAAATCTTCCTGGCTTTTACTCCTTACATCAGGAGTTGAGACTGCATAATGAGGAGAATGATACTAACAACTATCACTGACTTAAAAGTGAGCAAAGGAAGCAGAGTTTCTTCCTTTCCAACTCCAAGCAGGGTAAGAACCTACTAATTATTACAGTGTGAGTGGAAAAAGGAGTTCACTTTAGATTGACACAGTGATCAATGAAGTCCTTCCTTCACAATGAAGAATGAAGAAGAACTTCAAACTCAGAATAAATCTCGCCCCTCAGTTCCTCCTTTGGTTTACCCCAGGTTTGAGGTTACTTGCAGAGTGGCATGAAATTAAAGGTTCCATATATAACTGCATGCCTCAGGGCATGAGCCCACCTTTAGTTGTCTAACATAAGAAGAAACATTTCCTAAAGGGAAACTACTGCTACATAATGCTAAGATGCTATTTCTCACATCCTCCTTCTTTCTGTCAAACAAAAGCCGTCACAAGAAAAAAAAATGCTAAATGCTACATTATTTTCTTTCACTGACACAGTTTTACACTTATTTGCTCTTATTGTTATGGCATAATTTTATCATTACTGAAGTTGACAAACAGTCCCCAAACAAACCATGTAAGGCAGAACGAAATATTCAACACATGTTCACTGTCAAGATGAGACAGAAATAATAGAAAACCTGGAACTAAATTCTTTTTCCATGTATGCTAAGTTACGCCACTGAAGTCAAATGGGCAGCTTAATTTGCCCTCTTGATACTCAAAGCCACAGAGATTACTCCATTACCAAATAAATTAACACCACCACAATGCAACAGCAAAGCTGAAGCTTTACAGAGAAAAAAAAAAGAAAAAGATTTGGACATCAGAGGGAAGATGAGAAAGGAAGATTCCAGCATGGGGAGACTTTGCCTTCAGGTGCCTTCAGCGAGGAAAATACTCAGGTACTGCAACCCAGTTGAAGGACAAGGCACTCTTACCTGTGTGAGTGAGCATGTGCCGCTGTAGGGAACTTGCCCACGAAAAGGCTCGAGGACAGTAAGGACAGGAGATTTTTTGCGGGCAGTCTGAGTAAGTGTTCCTCTTCCCCCTCAGCAGCTTATCTTCAGCAGTTTCCTTCTCATCCTCACTTGTTCCATTTTGGCCGCTTTCTTCCTTGAAATTGTCAGTGGACTGTAGAAACGGGCTAAATTTATTAGTGTCTGTGGTAGCCAGCATCTTCTCTATGCTGGCAAACTCCCCGCTTGACTCCAGATCCACACCGCTGCTCAGTTTAGGTTTGTTTTTTGTTCCTTTCTTTCTACCCCTTTTCTTAGTCAACCCAGTGTCAGCAATGGGGGACGGCTCGGGATCACAGGCCTGAGTCAGGTCACTGGGAAGGCTGGAGTCTCTCGGAATGGCGGTCACGATTGTCATTTTTGCTTTGGCATTCCCTGATTTGTCGCACCCAGTGGAGCTGCTCGCTGCCTTGGGACTGGCATCTGCAGCCTCCGTTTTCAGCAAAGCAGGAGCAGAAGACACAGATGAAATGATCTGTGCAATGGAAGCCAGCGGTGGCAGCTCTTTAGTTACTGGAGGCTTTGGCAAGAGAGGTTGCGGTGATGGTTTAGGCCTCAAGGGTCTCAGCAAGGCAGAATTGCCAAGGAGAGCTGGGGAAATGATTGGGACAGTCAAATGCAACGAACCCTTCAGTGGCTGGGGATGTGCAACAGCCCTGTTTTTCTCTGAGTTCCCATTGGCACCAAAGCCCAGAGGACACTGCTGACAGTTGTAGGCATTATCAATGATGACAGAAGAAGCCAGCTCTTGATTCCTGGTCTCACCTGGGATATCATTGTCCCTCTTCAGGACTTTGGGGATGGATAGATCAATGGGCTCCATGGAACAGTCATAGAAGGACAATGGAGAAGAGACAAACAGGTTCTCCTGCTTCACTTGCACAGCACTCAGGTTTTTGCTCTTCTGAGAGAAATCCAATGGCTCATCAAAATCCATCGGGAAGTTGCCCGTATGTTCAAGTTTGATGGGAACATGAGATGGTGTCCCAAGCAAGAAACCATTCTGTGGCTCTAGGAAAGATGCGATGGGCTTGCAGTCCATGTAAGTGCTGTCTTCCAATAAAGGAGCATTTGCGTGGCTCTCCTGAGCACTGCAGTCCACCACAAGGATGTAATTCTCAATCTCCCTTTCCTGAACATGCAAGTGCTGCTTCAGGATATGGTGAATGCAGTTCCTCTTGGCTGAAAAGGCTGTGCCACACTCCTTGCACTCAAATGGCTTCTTCTTCTGGCAGCCACTGTGCGTCCTCATGTGGATGCGGAGGGCCCGATAATGCTTCAGATCCTCACCACACATCTTGCACACAGTGTCTGGGGAACAGAAGGCATCCACCATCTCTGCGGCATTGCTGGTGACATACTCAATGTTCTTCTCTATATCCTTCCTGGTCACTTTGAGGTGCTTCTTTCGCAGGTGCCTCTCGCAGTTGGCTTTAACTGTGAATGGGTAGTGGCAGATTTTACAAATGTAAGGCCTCTCCCCGCTGTGTGTCCGCAGGTGCCGGATCAGCGCCGCCTTGTCAGCTGCAATGTAGTCACAGATGTTGCACTGGTATGGGGAAATACCCAAGTGAGAACGGATATGAGCTCTCAGGACACCAGAGAAGGCAAACACCTGGTCACAGAAACGGCAGGGGTACAAGACTTTCCTCATTGTTGGGGCTTTCTTGTTTGCTGCCCCTGCAATGATGGCTTTGAGGTCCCCTTCTGTCACCTCTTGCTTGATCTTCGCTTCCATATTCAGAGGCAGGAGAGCTTCAATAATGCTGTCCTGCTCCAGTTGTGTCTTCATCTCGTGCTGAGTTAAAGGCTCTACTTTGGGTTGGAGAAGCAACTGCGAGGAAGGACTTGATTTGGCTCCTGGCTGCGATAGGTGAGAGTTGGAGGAGGTCTCCACCGAGTTCTTGATCAGCCTCAGAGGAGGTGGTGGGAGGCTTGGGCTAATGCAGCCGGGGGAGGCTTGCTGGGCACTGATAAGAGGAGGAGGTGTAGAAGTTGCGACAACTGTTCGGGGTGTTACCAAAGGCTTTGGCTTCAATGGTGGCATATGCTTGAAAATGGACTGCACGGGGACAGAAGGTGCCTTAGAAAGTGGAGGAAGACTGATCTGAGGAGGAGCGGAAGAAGCCATCTTCAAGATCTGCTGAATGTCTGCCAACTCAATTGCAGATTCATTGGAGATGGGTTTTACCACAATACTGCTGTCAGGCTGGATGATAAAACCCTTCTGGAAAGGCTGCAGCGAGAGGAGCTTTATGTTCTCCTTTGTAGGTGGGAGGACTGAAAATGGCCCTCCCATAGAGGCAGCTTCCAGAGGGGAGAGGCTGAGCAGGCCAGTGCTGCCGGGTTCCTGAGGTAGGTTACTCTTCAGTGCTCTGAGCCGCATTTCTTGGGCATCGTCTTGTGTATCGTCCTCCTGCTTGACAGGTTTGATGTCTTTGGTGTACTGTAGGCCCAAGGATGCCATGAAGGCTTTCTGGTCTGGGTTCTCACTGGGTAGGGATGTGGACTGTAGCTTGTGCTTGTCTCTTCCCTGATCCATCACGTGAGTTTCTGTGTGCAGTTTGAGCGCTGAAAGCATGGGGAATGCCTTGTTACACGTCTCACAAATAAACCGATGGAATTCACTGATGCACCTTCGCAAATTTGTTTCACACCAGACCTGCAAGACATGCAAAAACATTTAGAATAGACAGCTACAAACGGGAAAGCAATCACTTATTACTGCACAACTAAACCACCTTCACTCCCTCTTCTGCAGTAGAGAAGCCCTTCAGCCTCCTAAGTTGGTGTATCTAGATTAGGGGCTGACTCTCCAGAAGTTCTCTTCTGTAGAGGCAAATTTCTTCAGAGAGTTATTCAGGCTCTAAAATACTTTTCCACTCTAATCCTCCCTTCCAGAAACCTCTCTCTGTTCACTGACAAGACAGGAGCCTCAGAGGACTACCCAGCTAACTTCAGTAAGACGGGCAGTAAGACTACCTCCTTCGGCTCTTTTACTACAAAGAAACTACAAGGGAAAAAAAAAAAAGCATCTAAGAAGGGTAAACAACAACAAAACCAACAAAAATATCATCCGTCAAAATCAAAGTAATAAAACGCAGAGGCAAAACCAGTCAGACTTTTGATTAGGGAGTCTGATTACATTTATTGTTCCAAGAAAAATAGCGCACTCACAAACAGATTTTATACCTGAAAACAGTTGTGAATCCAAATACTATATTCAAGTATTTAAATGCTACCCAGGTAGCATTAGATGTGGAATTATTTGAGGAAGGCTGGGAAGGAGGGGCATGGATCTAACACTGTCAACATTTTTGTTTAAAATAATTTTATAGATCTTCACGCCTGAAACTCAAAAAGGCCAAGTGTTCTTTGGAAAAGGGAAAAAAAAAGCGGAAAGGGCTAGGGAAAGGGAGAAGGAGAATGAAAAATGGGAAAAGGAAGTGACTGAATCCTATGCAGACAGTAGTAATCTGGGCTCCACAAAATATTCCATGACTTGTCTCTGGCAGATCGAACCTTTCAATACATTCAGAAGATACACGCTGTATCAGAGGGTACCTCAAGCTCCTAAGAACAAAGCGTACCTGAGAAATGCGGGGGAACTTCCTACAGGAGAAGTCTGTGAATCCCAAGTCGTGGAAGCCTGCTGGAATTGAAGGGTTGTTCTGAATGAAAGGCTTTCCAGTGGGATCTCTGGGAAGCTGCTTATGGATAACTGCATTGTGGCGCAGTAAGCCCCGATGAGTACGAAAGGTAATACAACAGATGTCACACCTGGAAAGGAAAAGCATAAAATAAAAATGACTTATTGTCTGCTGCAAGCATAAGGACCAGCATTCTTCTCACATTAGGCCAGCCTCTTTCCCCTCACCTCATGATACTAAGAATCTGCTAAATGCAGAACAAAGTAATGGCATGTCAAAAATCTATCATCACAGAAAGGCCATTTCAATCACAGCCACTTTCTACCAGTTTCTGGTGGTTAAGTTCACCAGAAGTTCAAAGAATATAGCAAATGAATGTCACACGTGGGCAGACAGGTAGTAGAAGCTGAGACTGCAGATTTCTGACAATGTTCCCATTGTCCAAGTGCTTCAATGGCTTCATACAATTTTATTTTCCTGATTCTTTACTAGAAAGTGCTATTAAGATAACGACTTTAAAAAAATAAAAATAAAAACCATCAGCAGTAAGGAAGGGTTAGATCAGACCTACATAGCACACAGCTGCAAACGTACAGATAACACCTTTTTAACTACAGCTTAAGGCACGCTACTGCCCACCACTCAAACACCTGTGTATGAATTTTTCTCCAAATGTTTATACTGCACCGCTTTTCCATAAACTTCCACTGATTCTTCTCTAAGCTGTTATGAGAAATATACTTTCTTTAAAAGAAAAAAGACTGCTCCCTGGAGGGGAAAAGGTCAGGAGGAAGACCTGAAACAGGCTCAACACTTCTGACATTCTGACACTCATATACCTCCTTCACAGCCAGCGTGCCTTCTGAGAAATGCAGAAGCAACAACTCTTCTGATCCACAGCTTGGGGCTATGATTTGTTTTATTTCAGTTCTATTCCCAAATTCGGGCAATCATACATTTATGTACAGCAGACTAGCTTTAAGACAATCAAAGGTGGTAAGGAGTACACAGCAACATCTGGCCAACATGTCAACAACGTTATCGCCTTTTAAGTATCTGCTGTTTGAGCTCTGCACCAGGACAGATTATACCCGCTCTGAATCCAACAAATGACACACAGTTTCACTCAAAATGGTTCCCTACGGTTCCAGCTCCAGCTTGTAACCAAAACACAAGTTTTTCAGAAGCCACTAGCAGAGAATGTGAAGCAGACAGCTGTTGAGAGCACTATTTGCACTCGGAGTTCTTCACATCTCCCCATGCTGTCTTTGCCCTCCCATTGAGGAAAAGGACATGTGCCTACTCATTAAAAAAACATCCTGCAATTAGACATGACTTCTGACAAAATCCTGAAACAACCCCCTCCCTGTCCTGTCACTAACAAACTCCCATTGTTGTTCTTATTATCACTACATAAACTTCCACAGACCTTTTTTATTCCCTGAAAATGAAGAGATAACCAAGTCACTCACAGAACAATTGGACTCACAGTCTCTGAGTGGTGAAAGAAACAAGTGTGAAGTATATGTACCACTGCCTGTGTTATCATGGTACCCAGAAGGCTGAGGCATAAATATTATGCACTGGAGGTTTAATCTGTTTTATCTCCCCTGTCAATTCACTTGCATCCTACCTTTATAATTATTGCCAGCATAGTGCTGGCATTCCATTAAATAGAGAACTGCAGCCATTTACAAAGCGAGTGTTTACTTAAAGAGATCTGCTAAATGTGACAACCGGCTCTGGTGGAGCGAGAGAATGCCGATGCACAGCGCTCCTCCAGCATCAGGATTTGCGGCACGCTTCCAGCTCACTTGGCAGTACCTACCCGTGATGCATAGCTCTCCTGTTGGCTGAAAACAAAAACACTCAACCACCAAAACCACCGGGGGAAGGAGGGCACTACAGGCTTACAACAGTCACCTCCGCAACTTGCAAGATACTGGAACAAAAGCTTTTTTAGAGGCGATGAAAAAGCCTGGTGTGAAAGCCAGCAGTGCTTCTGGCACACTCCTCCTGGTATCTCAGCACATGGACGGCAAGGGCTCGCAGGCCCAGCTGCTCTGTGAAGGCATGCAGATCCTCACCCTCTCCTGGGGTGCCCAGAGGCAGCTCTGGGAGTCCCCAGTGTGCCTGACCTCCCTGGGACCAGCAACAAAATTCAGTGGCTGTGTCTACTCCTGTTTGACAGGGCAGAGAAAGCTACTGCTGACAGGACCGCAAGGCCACGAAGACAGCCAGGGTCTGCTGCCATTCCCCTGGGATTTGGGCTAAGCAAGCCATAGAACCATAGCACGGTTTGGATTGGAAGGAATCTTAAAGCCCATTCAATTCCAGCTCCCTGCCGTGGGCCGGGCTGCCCCCCACCAGCTCAGGCTGCCCAGAGCCCCATCCAATCTGGCCTTGAGTGCCTCCAGGATTGGGGCACCACAGCTTCTCTGGGCAGCCTGTGCCACTGCCTCCTATGTCTCACATGCCTCACACTCCTCTACCCTCTCACATCCACCAGTTGTGTGACGGATTGATTCTAAGCACTGGTTTACTTGGGGCTCCTACCAAAAGCTGTGCTCGAAACAAAACCTTTCAGGGCAGAGACCCATGTGAAAGTCCTTCATGGTACACCTGTACCAACTGTTATGCCCCAGGAGAGTAAAAATCTGCAATGTAAAAATGGTGTTTTCATGCAAAAGGAACCTCCCTCCCTCCTCCCCTAAAACAAAACTAATAAGAGACATTATGTCCATTCTCTTTTTTATAATGCATAGAATTAAGCGATCTCCTGTGTTTTTCTCAAGCTATAACAAAAACCTGGAAAAGGATTAAACTCTTTTACCATTTGGTCAAACCCAACTCCCATCTGAATAAAGAAACACCCAGGTAAGTCAGGCCTGTCAGGGAATGTCAGTGTGCTGCTTCAGCTCAGCGCCTCCAGTGGGGCTGCAGCTTTCAAGACACAGCCCATTCACACCTTTTTTTTCTCCTGTGTGTTATTAAATTACCTTCCCTGCATCTCAATTACTAAGAGAACCCAGGCTTCTTGGGTTCGAATACAATGAGTGTAGCTGATACAGATATGGATATGCATCACCTCCAAGGAAAACTCAGCGCTATGGAGCTTCAATACTAGTTAAGGCAATCATTGCGTGGCACTGACTAACACATGGTAATTTAAAATGGAGCGTGCTGCCATGTGAAAAAAGCATTAACTGACAATCTTGTTTTGTTTTTTTTTTTAAGGACATTGATTTGCCTGTTTTGACATCAGTGCTATTTTCCATCTTTAAGCAATGGCAATACTTACAATGCTTTTAAGTTAAGAAACACAGCAAGAAGCAAAAGAGAAAGAAATCTCACATAATACAAACATCTTTTCATCTTGCTTAAATTGCTTTCTAAAAATGTAATATTAATCTAGAAAGCCCAAAAAGACCAGCATATCAAGTGAGGCAGCTGAGCCATGTGGTAATACTTTGCTCGTGATGAGCTTAAAGACAAAACAAAGCAAACCCTCTCTCCTTGAAGTTTCACAAGTCTGTCCCAGCGTAGTGCCAAGTCAAACAGGGATGATGTGACTGCAAAGAGCAGAGATGGGAACAGATTCTGAGGAGAACAGGCAGAGCAATAGCTAAACACCTGAGCACAGATAAAAGCACTGTGCTTGCAAGGTAAGTTTCCAGATGTAGCAAATAAAAGCTGCTGTGTTATCACATGATTGCTAGTCTTGGCTGCCGTTCTCCATTCTTCTGTAAATATGATTACAGAGAGAAGAAAGCCATTTGGTTCTAAAAAATTCATTGTAAGCAAAATTGGAAAAACTGCTGTTAGCAACTTTGACTGCTTTACACTGAGCGCCCTTCTCAGTAGTTCTGTATGTAATGCAGTCACTCATACCTGTCCAAAGCCAGTCCAGCACTAGAGCTCTGGCTTGCTGGCAGAGGTGTACAGAACAAGTGAGTGAGAAAACAAAACTGCTAAAACACAAAAGCAGAACCTTAATGTATCCATGCAATGACAGTACAAAGACCAGGCTGACCTCAGAGCTCAGTCTGCCTATCACACCAGGTGAGTTTAACTATTACTAAAGAGCTCTGAGGAGAAGGACCTGAGTGTCCTGGTGGACAACAAGGTGGCCATGATCCAGCAGTGTGCCCTTGTGGCCAAGAAGGCCAATGGTATCCTGGGCCAATGGTATCCTTAAATAGAGCGTGGCCAGCAGGTAGACGGAGGTAATCCTTCCCCTCGACTCTGCCCTGGTGAGGCCACATCTGGAGTATCGTGTCCAGTTCTGGGCTCCTCAGTCCAAGAAAGACAGGATATTTTTTTGAGAGAGTCCAGCAGAGGGCTACAAAGATGATGAGGGGTCTGGAGCATCTCCCTTATAAGGAAAGGCTGAGAGACGTGGGGCTGTTCGGCCTGGAGAAGAAGGATGAGAGGGGATCTCACCACATAAATACCTAAAGTACAGGAGCCAAATGGATGAGACCAGGCTCCTTTCAGTGGTGTGCAGAGACAGGACCAGGATCAGCAGGCAAAAGCTGCAACACAGGAAGTTCCATACAAATATGAGAAAAAACTTCTTCGCTTTGAGGGCAACAGAGCACTGGAACAGGCTGCCCAGAGAGGCTGTCGAGTCATTTCTAGAGGTATTCAAGACTCACTTTGATGTCTTCTTGTGTGACCTATTGTAGGGAACTTGCTTTAGCCAGGGGTAGGACTGGACAATCTCCATAGGTCCCTTCCACCTCCTATGATTGTGTAATACTGCATCATTGCACTTACAAGATCTCTATCTAAAAACACAGCATTTTATATTAAAATGGCATTCTTGAAATCTGTAATGCTAGTTGGAACATAAAAGCTTTTTAATATGCCTTAATAGACATTCTTCTGTGCAGCTTGTTTAAGAGACAAGGCAGGATTTGCTACATTTATGACAAAAGGCACCTATGCAAGAAAAGTTTACAGTAGTGCTTGCTGCCTTGCATTACACTCCCTTCTCAGCCAGTTTCTATTTGACAGCAATAGAAATGATCACTTTTTTTTTTTTAAAGAAAAGAAAAAATATTTTGAAAAGGAAATGAAGATCCAAATTTTAAGCAAAATTAATTGGTGTTGATTTTGATTAAGGGT